TATCATAAATGTACGTAAATAAAATATATGAATACAGTATGTAATCCATATGTATCTATAGGAGTTTCTAATTTATATATGTTTTATTAATTATTGTAATATTTGTGAATAACAGTATTTTCTTTACTAACAATTTATTAATTTACCTCTAATTATTTAATTTTTATACATATTAACTAAATATAAATATTTATTTTATTTTATATTTTATTTTATTTTAAAAACAAAAAGCTTACATAATGTAATAACCGTACGTCGACCCAGTGTCAATTAATGAAAACCATAAAAAAAAATCGTATCAGGCCCTCACGACACAGGCATGCCTAGTGTGAGGACCACAGAACTATACACCCTTGTTTATACACTCCAGCTTAGTTACTGTGATAAGATCATAGTTTATAATTGTATACTAGAAAATTAAAACTACTGTACTTCCATTTTATTATCATCTTATATTGTATATTATAATCTGTACCACCTTAGCTGTAAATAAACATTTTTTCATTTTTCATTTTTCATTTTCAATTGGTGGTTATGTATGATACAGGTACTGATACGAATATTGTGGCCTAGTTTGTACCGGTGTTACTATTTCACATTTTAACATGAAAAAGTAGTTATTGTAACATTACTGTAATAGTTAAACATATGGTATCGCAGACTTTTTTGTAGATATTGATATCCTCTTTAAAACTGAAGTACATTACTTTGCTCTATTGTCAATAGTTTCCGCAGCGTACGCGATATAAGGATTCTTTTTGGAATTTTTTTCACACCTTGGGTTACATTAACGAAGTTTTCATACGGATCCCTAACTTTTTTGAAAATATTATATAGCCTATGTTCATCATGGATAATGTAGGATTCTAATGGTGAAAGAATTTTTCAAATCGGTCCAGTGGTTTCGGTGCCTATTCAATTCAAACAAACAAACAAACAAACAAATCTTTCCTCTTTATAATAGTAATAGTAATTATATTATATATTATATATAGCAGAGACATTTTTTTCCGTTTGCGAGAGAGCATACACGTAAGCGGTTTAATCTTATTGTTTGTGTGCGTGTGTGGGTGTGCGCGTGTGTGTGTGTGTTTGTGTGCATGTGTGTATGTGTGTGTGTGTGTGTGTGTGTGTGTGTGTGTGTGTTAACTCATACGTGGTATGTTAAGATGCGATTTGCAGTAATTCTTCTGTATTTTCATAATCAAGTTTAAGCAGCCAATCTGAAATTTTCTTTTTACATTCAAATTTTGTTAGGTTAATGATACGGTGTAATTTGTTTGCTTTGTTATAATATAATCGACTACCTCTAAAACTGAAAAATTTTTGAGCAAAAATTGTTTTTACCGGAATAATTTCACAAACTTCATAATCTCTCCTCGTACCTTCCTTCCTTATATTATCCAACAAATCAATACAACTATGTTTTTTTAAGATGATTGATAATATGTTAATTTTTCGAACAGTTAACACATTGGCTTCTACATACAAGTTCATAGTCGGATACATCCTAAATTTTTTCGAAGCAATTTTTAATATCATCCTTTGTACCTTTTCAACTTCCATCATTAATGTTTTTCTAGAGTCTCCCCATACAGAAATGCCGTAGGACAGGATAGATTTACCTAACGATTCATATACAGTCTTAATTAAATTCCAATTTGCGATATGTCCTAAGTTTTAAATATGTAGATAGACTTTCTAATTTTTTGAACTAAATACTTTACATGTTCTTGAAGCTTAGATTCTTGTCTATTATTATGCCGAGGTACTTTATGTTATTTGTATATTCAATATAAAGACATTTACAATTTGAAATAGAGGTCATAGCACATTCATGTGTTTTAAATTTATTTGTAATACAGGATGAATTTCGGATGGAAAACATTACATATTTGGTTTTGTCGGAATTTAAAGTGAGACTATTTAGAGCAAGCCAGTGGTAGACTATATTGAAACCGTCCTGTGCAATTTTGAAAACTTCTTCCCAAGAGTCACCGTAAAACGAGAGGGTTGTGTCGTCAGCATATGAGATTATTTTACAATTTGGGATGTTTAATTGACATAGATCGTTTATGTAGCAAAGGAAGAGGATATTTATTTCATTTATAATGCATTCTACCTCTGGTTGTTATACATCTTAATAAACAAACAGTTATCCAGGGTTTTATTGTGATTTTGCTTCGGGGTATTCTAATTTTTATTGAATTACTAGCTGTTCCCCGCGACTTCACCCGCGTGGAGTTATTTTTCGCGGAACCCTAAAACATAACTTATCTGGCAGTGTATATAAATATTGGCATTAATATTTATACGATACTAACGTCACTTAATTGTTTCGCCTTTCCGGAACCCCTCTACTAAGACTTAAACTTTATGGTATGTTATTAAAGTTCAAATTGACTTTTAAGTATTATTATGAATCTTTTGTATGGGAACATAGAAAAGTGTTGTTTTTAGACTTTTTCCACGCAATTTTTTTAACTTTTCTCTCCGTAAGAACCATCTTCGTACTTCAAGGAATATTATAAAAAAGAATTAGAGAAATCGGTTCAGCTGCTCTTGAGATTTGCGCTTAGCAACACATTCAGCGATTCATTTTTATATTATAGAAGATTAGCAATTATTTTTTGTATGTTATTATTTTTTACAATCTTCATATAGGTTATCGAAATTTAATTTATTAATTAAATTATTTTTAATGCAAATATTTTGTTTTATCGATTTAATGCAGAAAAGAACCGGTTCGTGGTCAGTAATGGAAGTTAATAAAATAAAAGTATATGTCGAATATTTCGTTTTTAGAATTACATGGTCAAGGCAGCTATTACCCCTAGTGGGATAATAACATGCCGGTATCATTTCATAGAAAGCCAGAACTTCTAAGTAATTGGATGACAGCGAGTTAAGCTCAGCAATGTTAATATTTAAATCTCCCATCAGGAAAGTATTTTTAAAAGAAGATAGTTCAGTTAAAGTGTTTTGTAACGATAGTAGGAATTTATCCAGCGATAGGTAGCTAGGGGATCTATATATAGCAATTATAACTGTCTCGTTATTTATTTTTATTAATAAGGAGTTCGCTTCAGATATATTAGGTTCCTCTACTTCAAATTTTAATTCTTTCTTTATCACAACGACAACACCTTCGTTTTGATTATTATTCATCTCAGTTTTAAAGGAGATGTATCCCGGGATAACCGGAAGGTTAATGACACAAGATAGCCAACATTCCGATAGGATTAAAATATCACAGTCACATTTCATCCTATGTAGTAACTAAGTACACACAGACTAAGGACACAGTACTATTGAGCTTATTTTACTTAACTGGATAACATCCTTTTGTATGATATTTAAAAAATGTTTGTGTGAAAAGTGTGAATGTGTTGGAATTGTGAAGAAGAATGTATTGTGTAGATTTATACTAAGAGGTACTGTACATTGTATTAGGTTATACGAGTACACATGAGAAATAATATAAGTCAGTCTAGTATTTAAATAAGAATAGTACATCGGGTAAGATAACCACATGCATATACATTGTATAATATTGCTTACAATTAAAAAAGTACTCTTAAATACTTATAGGCCGTAAGTGTAACGTGTAAATAAATCCAAGTGTGATTGAAAGATATTAGGGTTTTCTCCATTTTGTTCAGGCCCGCCTATGAGCTCCAGGTCATTTAAAAGAGCAGCTTGATCTTTGTAATTTAGGTCACGCTTTAGTTGAGCCACAGTTTCAACCAACTCATTTGCAGGCGCAATTTTTTTTCATCCTTTGCTTGAAGTTCTAAGCAGGTCAGGCGTTTTTCAACTCTGTCTAATCTTGAGTTAAACTCCGTCATAGTGGCATTCAGTTTCCCAACTTCCTGGCGAAAATTAACCATTTCTCTCTCTCGAAAGGGTTTGCAATTCTGTTCGTAAGAACCTAATTTCCTGCGCTAATAATCCTTCGTTAGAACCCTCCACCCTTGCATCCATAAATATTTCAGTTATCTCCTCTGTTTCCGCATGTGTTGGACTTTGTCACGGCGTCGAATTGACTCCCGAACATGAGGCCTTAGGTTTACAGGTCTTGCACATCCACTTCGCGCTAATTTTCATGTCAGGGTTAATGTTTACACAATGGCGATGGTAAGATGATGGACATTTTGAACATTTAACACCATCTGTTTGAGAAAGGAACTTCCCGCAAAGACCACATTTATTTGCCATGTTTAATTTAATTATCACTAAATGTTCCCGTATAGTAAACTTCCGAAATTTGCACAGACTACACAATATAATCCGTCATAGTGGCATTCAGTTTCCCAACTTCCTGGCGAAAGTTAACCATTTCTCTCTCTCGTAAGGGTTTGCAATTCTGTTCGTAAGAACCTAATTTCCTGCGCTAATAATCCTTCGTTAGAACCCTCCACCCTTGCATCCATAAATATTTCAGTTATCACCTCTGTTTCCGCATGTGTTGGACTTTGTCGCAGCGTCTAACTGACTCCCGAACATGAGGCATTAGGTTTACAGGTCTTGCACATCCACTTCGCGCTAATTTTCATGTCAGGGTTAATGTTTACACAATGGCGATGGTAAGCTGATGGACATTTTGAACATTTAACACCATCTGTTTGAGAAAGGAACTTCCCGCAAAGACCACATTTATTTGCCATGTTTAATTTAATTATCACTAAATGTTCCCGTATAGTAAACTTCCGAAATTTGCACTGACTACACAATATAATATACGACGCTTGAGTTAAGTCAAACAAAAGTCAAATACATAAATTTAAAACACTTTAATTATTGCGGGTACATACAACAGCGGATTGGAAAAGTTGATTATGTTACGATAAACTTAAATGATATTTTAATCACACTGACTCAGTCTTAACTGTAAATAACACTAGTATCACTTTTTAGTGCTATCTTAAATAGAATTATACTGTTTGTATGTACAAAAACCACGTTTAATTATTTTATTAACTCAAATAATCACGACGTGTATGCACTACCCGCCACGTCTCGATAGGGAAGTGACAACAAAACTAAACCACATAAATGAAAGTTGCCAAAACAAGGCCGTCGATTCCAGGTCTCAAGCCATAGACGATTCAATTATATTGTTCAAGAGCCATTCATCGTTGACGCAGTACATGTCTTTGAAAATCAAGCGTGGATACAAAGTTTGCTGTCGGTGTGATAGCCAAAGCGGATATTTGTATGAGATTGACATATACACCGATAAGACTGAAAACACATTTGAAGAAGAACTAGGGGCAAAAGTTATAAAGAAATTAATACAGAAACATATAACAAAAGGTATGCAGAATTCTCACATAACTTTTTGTGACTTTAAAATTTTAGCCTATTGGTTTGACAACGATATATACGTGACTGGCACGGTGCGCAGACTAAGAGCGGACGTGCCTGATCTTGTAAAAGGAGCTACAGAAAAGAAGTTGAAGCTACCAAAAAGAAACTTCGAGTGGAGGGTCAAAGAGAATGTAGCTTTAATAATTTTGCAAGACAATAAAGAAGTGCTGTTTATGACAAACGCCATTTATCCTAAGCTCTGTCGAACCACAGTGACGAGAATGAAAAAGATGGATCTAAATAAGATGTTCGGTGCCCCTTTGTTACAAAGGAAACCACCAAAAGAATGGAAGGGGTGGATCGGTTTGATCGACTAAAAACTAACTACTCAGTTGGAGGACGAAGTAAAAAATGGTGGCTTAGAATTTTTTTTATTTCTTACTCGATGCCAGCATTACTAACGCCTTAATTTTGAGCCAAAACTGCAAACTGAGGCTCAGTCATTTTGAATTCCGCGTTGCTTTAGCAAGAGGACTGATAAGTCGTTTCACGAGTCGTAAAAGGCGCTCAATGATGACGAACTACGTTTTTCTAAAAAAAGTCGCACAGATTGAAGCTCGTCAAAAAGCTCTCGGTAATGTTGCCGATAAAATACGTTTCAATAATGTTGGGGAGCATACGTCTTGTCCACTGCCAACGTATAAACGTTGCCGGCGTTGCAGCACTAAAATAAATGACAAGAGGTCAAAAATTATGTGCAAAAAGTGCCAACCAATGATGTTTTTTATACTTTTAATAAAGCATTTTTCTAAGACATTTGTTTGTAGATTGCAATTTTTATAATTATTTAATCATATTTTTCAAAAAATAACAATTTTTTTAGCAAACAAGCAAAGGTATAACCATAGGCAGAGGGAAAGAATGTCCCACCATAGAAATAATAATAATATTTTTTTAATAATATAATTTCATTTCTAACACTAAACGATAACATAAACCACTGGCAGTTTTACTATAACTATTTAAGTTCCTCATGCGTTATAAAGGGTTAAACCGTGATATATTTATATCCTTAAGGATGTAGCTATATACCATGATACAGTTATATGACAGATATAACTACGATACGTGCACGATCTAGTAACATAACTATCTTACTAGACTAATCTAGTGACATAATTATAATTGTAAACTGAATGAGGAGCCAGGTGCGTAGCTACCGCCGTATCAGCCGTATCAATGATACGGGGCCCCCGGGCTATAGGGGCCCTGAACTTGTGTAAATAAAAATCCCAAGGACTTCTATGGGACAGGAAAGGCTATCACTATCGTCTATAGAAGCAAAGAATTTAGAAAAGCTGAAATTGTCTTCAGCTATGAAATCTGCCGAATCGTCCTCAGCTATGTTCACTGAACAAAAGGCAAGAAAAGTGTATATTTGATTTTACCTATTTGGCTAGCTTAGTTCCTAGGAGTATTAATTGTAAGTAATAACTAATAATCAATAATATATAATAATTTAATTCAAAGAAAGAACGCTTGTTTTGTTCCTTTTATGAAATCTTTACTCTTCATTGGGGCCCCCCAACAAATTTTGATACAGGGCCCATCTAAGGCACGCTACGCCACTGTGAGAAGCACACTCGTGTTACTCGAGTAGAGTGTTGTAGTTGTACTGTATAATTTGTGGAATATCATCATGTGGTAATGGTTACGGATCACAACTGGTGTGTAATTATTGCAACAACGAAAAAACATTCAGGACCAAACAAAAATATATAGATAAATCTATGGACAAGTTAGAAAGAGCTGCTGAAAAAATTAAAAAGAGTCCTCCGCCGCCAAGCACGTGGTCAATCAGCACTTGAAATTGCACGTAGTAAATCAAACCTGGGTTACCTAATTTTACTGGTTACTATTAACCAATGTAAAATAAATGCACAATATTGTTTTTTTCATTTGTTTTAATGTGAATAATAATTTTATATGAGGTACTTAAAAATGAGAAATTTTTGCTTTATAGAACTTGTTGCTTTAATTAAAAGTATGTAATGCTTTTTTCAAAATTAAAACGATTAAGTAATATAATCATTTAAATTTTCGTTCTAATAATGGCTAAAATATGTTCTAATAATTAATTATTGTCAGTCAAAATTGTACCACTACGTAACATTTTAATGAAAACCCTTGTCAATGAAAACCTTTACTTTGTTCTTGTTTTATCAAACATTAAACCTTTTAAATCTCTTTGTCTGACATATTACATTAAAACATGCAAGCATCATGTTAATGAAATGAGCATTTTTTTATGAAAGCTCCGAGTTTTTAACCATAATAAATAGAATAATATAAAATGTTATATTTTCTTTATTAAGAATAATCGTGTATAATATTATTATATAGTATGTCCTGTGTATATACATATTTGACGGTGTAAAATGGACTTTTAGCTCTTATTTCAAATTACTGACATTTAAATGCTCAATAGTGTATTAGATTTTATATAGTGGCGCAGTAAGAATACCCACTACCCCATATCGTCCCGTGGGTGTCCGACTACGACTAAAAGGCGACAAAGGGAAAATGAAACATAACAGTTAAAAAAAAACTGCGTTGTCAACCGAAGCATGGAAGCTATGGTAAAATGCCCCTATGATACGATATATTGGGAGGTCTATGTTCAGCAGTTAACTTTTAGGCTGTTATGAAAAATACTCAATGAACACTACATCTAAGATTCTTGGGGAATATATATACATATATATATATATATATATATATATATATATATATATATATATATATATGGAACTGTTTTTTTACAATTAAATAATAAAAATTGACACAAGTCCAGTGAAAATACACGCGTCAGCTGAACAGCTGCTTTTGAACTTAATAAACAAATAAATAAATAAATATGTAATATATACCATCAGAGGCGTAGCACGGTTCGGTAACAAAAAAACAAATTTGGTAAAGTATAGTATATTAATTATTATTTCCTATGTGTTGGGGGCGTACTCGTAACAGAATTCATCTCTCCATTTAGTACTGTGGGTATCGTAAGGCAGTCGCGCCGGGAAATGTTAGACAGATCTTATGTCTTTCGATAGTCTACGTTCCTAATTGTAAGAGCTACGTTTTCCTGACGTATGTTTTCTATTTGATATCGATATTTAGTTAATTATGTTCGTGACACCAATAATGTAAACGGGTAAATTTCAAACCAGATCTGAGTTCCTGGCAGCTTTCACCGCGACTAAATGATTTTGATTTTTATATAGGAGTGGTAAAGCCATGCTGCAGCTATATTAGTAGTATAGTTGTAGCACGAATGGGTCGGCTCGGCCGGGGAATGTCCACGCTCTCACATAATAGCAGCGTAAAATAGCAGCTTAACGCTGCTGTGTTTTGTGTGAGACCCCTTTTACTGGAAACGAGGCATTTCATCTTAGTCCCCAGTGACAACGCATCTGCAATTTGATTCGTAGTTGATGATAGATATATATGTCTATGGGCCACAGCAACTACTTACCATTAGGTGGACTGTGTGTTCGTTTGTCACCCTCAACCTATATATATTCATTCATTCATCACATCCCATCAAAAGTCCATTGTTGAACATAAGCCTCCCCCATTGCTTTATATTTGCAATGACATCGATTGATAACTGTCAAATTATGAATACAATAATCCTAACAACATACTGTAGGACATCAGCAAACTAAGCATTTGTTGATTCGGCCAGCACACAAATAATTTCGAATTGGATCCTCACATAAAATTAAAAATACTCTGTATGATAATCAAAACATGCAAAAGCGTAAATTGATTCAAAAGTAATTACTTATAACAGTGGACCTGTGTCAATTCTTTACTATATATTAAATATAGTAAAGAAGCAATGAAATTAAAAAAAAAAGTGTATCATACAAAATAACGTAAGCTGGCTACTTTTTTTAATTTAAAATTAAGTCAGTATTCTATCAGAAGCTCTAAACACGGACGATTGACATAACAATGACGAGAATTATTCAAATGAGAATTATTTTTGAAGGTATAATTAGAGATTCAATAACTTTTCCCCGAAATGTCAACCCGCCTATACTCGGTGGGTCCTGCTGATTGACGGACAGTTCTCAGTAGACCAAATGCTTAAAATGGAACTAAAAGCGCTCGTTACGCTCGCACACTGATAATGATAATTGTAACCAATACGAGAGTATCGGCTCTTCGCCAAACTACTCATTCAACGTGCTGAATCTTCGAAGTAATACTTGCCAGTGACGCCTCGAGAAAAGGCCTACCAAGAAATAAATTCAGAAAGGTTCTTCATATATCATGTAATGAGATTTTATATAAATTATGTGAATAGCCATTTGTAACTATACACACATTTCGTTTGCCCATTTCTTAACTATTTTTGGTCCAATTTGATACTGCAGACAAAAAGTTTTCGCAAATATTGCTACACTTGCTAGTATACACATCTACACTTGTTTTTACTCTCGCAATTCAACTTATAATGATAAAATATAAAAGGTTTTTATCAACAAATGAAAAAGCTAGGAGCAGATGTTCGGGAGGATTTCGTGTTTCAAAGTATATCAAAAAGTATTTTGCACCTGCTTCCAGATTTGCGAGGGTTTGTTTTAGAGGTAGAAACATCATTTCTTTTTTAAAATAAATGTGCCTAGGAGGAAAATATACGTACATTTATAAATATATATGTTAAGCAATAAATTATTTATTTTTGAACGTACTTGACATGTTCGATTTTTCATTTTGACCAATAACTGATAGTGAAATTGGCGTTAAGTTTGGGCATTTACCGCTCAAACCCCTTTGTCGAATATTCTCAATTTTAGTGCACTCGTTGCCTTAGCTAGCATCGTTATAAAAAAGAAAGGTTTTCTTCATAAAATTGTCTTGATGATGAAGTAACTTTGTTCGTAAGGATTAATATGCCATGCCTAATAATAACGCTCCAAAACACTTTAATTTCCAGTATTTTATATCACAAAATACCTTATTGTGGCTTATGTACAAGAAATAAGCCTATGGTATCGCATTAGATGGAGGACAGATCTATATTTTTGTAGAACATGGTATTTACATACGTATTACTAAACATTACGGCAACGCACTTTTTCTTCCGACTTGATTAGCAATAATCAATATTTAAGGCTAGCTGAGAGGTGTAAGCTAATGCTAGCCTTTACTATACCTCGTGAATCTGGCTATCATATACAAAAAGAATTTATCAAATCGGACTGTTGGTTCCAGCGATTAGTGTATTTAAACAAACAAAAAACTTCTTCCTCTTTGTTATATAAGTACAGATTCTTTCTCATTCTCTCCTATAGATTTATATATT